ATATATATACACACACACACTAGAGGCCCAATGCACAAAAATTTGTGTACTCAGTTAGGGCGGGGCGTTGCTCAGCCCAGCCTATACACTCTCACAGTGTGAGACCCCTCATGGGATGTCTGACTGATGGTTTAGGCCTGCTACCCAGGGGATCAGGCCTAAGCTGGCAGTTAGAAATCCTTCTCATAGCCAGGGAGCCCTTGGGGGATGTCCACCTGCTGGCTTATTCCCGCTCCACAGTGGATCAGGCCTAAGCTGGCAGTCAGACATTCCTCAGACAGCCTGAGAGCCCTTGGAGGATGTCCACCTGCTGGCTTAGGTCCACTCCCTGGGGGATCAGCCTTAGGCTGGCAGTCAGACATCCCTCTGGCAGCCTTGGAGTCCTCAGGGGATGTCCAACTAACGGCTGAGGCCTGCTCCCCAGTTGAGAAGCTCCCTCAACTGCCACTGTGCAGGCCAGCCCTGAGTTGGATTCTGGCTGAGTGGCGCACCCCTGTGGAAGCGCACTGACTACCAGGAGGTAGTTCCTGCATTAAGCGTCTTCCCCCTGGTGGTCAGTGCATGTCACAGTGACCAGTCCTTCCCAGTTGTTCCACCATTAGGGTCAATTTGCATATTACCCTTTAATTATATAGGATAAATTTTCTTTTATTTATATAATTTAATATATATTTTCATCATTATTATTAGTTTTAATTATCATCATCATTATTATTTTTAATTGAGTATTTTGTTTTTTACTTTTCTTCTTATACACTCATTCTCTTTCTACCTCCTCTGAACTGAATCATGGCCATTTCCCCATTCATTCAATTCCTTTACCTTACCTTCTGGAAATAAGTTCTGCATCTTCAGATTCACCCCCCCCCTTCTTTTTTTATGGGTGTTTGAAATTTTTTATTAGTTGTTGGTTTTGTGGAGTTTTATCCTCATATATATGAATTCTTTTTCCTTTCTTTTTTCTTCTTTTTCTTTTCTCTCTTACCTTTTATCCTTCTCTCAATATCATTTTTGCACTCTTTTCTCTCCCCTAATACTCTCTTATCTGGTGGTCAATTTTTTTGGGGGGGTTATTGGTGTTGTGAATACACCTTCTGGAAAAGTTCTGCATCTTCAGATTCACCCCCCCCCTTCTTTTTTTTTGGGTGTTTGAAATTTTTTATTAGTTGTTGGTTTTGTGGAGTTTTATCCTCATATATATGAATTCTTTTTCCTTTCTTTTTTCTTCTTTTTCTTTTCTCTCTTACCTTTTATCCTTCTCTCAATATCATTTTTGCACTCTTTTCTCTCCCCTAATACTCTCTTATCTGGTGGTCAATTTTTTTGGGGGGGTTATTGGTGTTGTGAATACATTTGTGTTTTGTTCCCTCTGTGTCATGTCTTGTCAAGTTGTATTTTGTGGTTTTTGGTCAACATAATAGAAAGTGAGTCACATAACCAGGCAACCTGAGAGGAGCAAAAATGGGGAGACAAAGAAACAGCCCCCATACAAAAGAAAAGGAGGAATCACTGGAAAAAGAAGTAAACAAAATGGAGGCGAGCAATATGTCAGAGAAAGAATTCAGAGCAATTTTCATAAGGATGCTCAAAAGGGAAAGACAAATTCAATAATATGTGTAAGAATCAAGAAGAAATGAAGAGGATCCAAGAATAAATGAAGAATGATATAGCTGCAATAAAGAACACAATAGAAAGCATTAACAGCAGACTAGAAGAAGCTTAGGACTGCATCAGTGAGCTAGAAGACAAGGTAGGAAAAAACATCCAAGCAAAGCAGCAACTGGAAAACAAATTTTTTAAAAAGGAAGAGAGCCTCAAGGAGCTTTGTGACAACATGAAATGAAACAACTTCCACATAATAGGAGTAACAGAAGAAGAGGAAACTGAGCAAGGAATAGAAAACCTGTTTGAAGAAATAATGGCAGAAAATTTCCCTGATATTGTAAAGAAAAAAATCACAAAAATCCAAGAAGCTCAGAGTCCCAAATAAGATGAACCAAAAAAAAAACCAACACC